GGAGCCACTGTGCGGCGCGCGCCTCACTGCCTGCAAGGCTGGCGAGCCCACCCCCACCCTGGCCCTTCCCGCCGCTGGGGGGGCTGGGGGGGCGTGTTTTGGTGTCTGGGGCGTGGGCTGCCTCACAAACTTTGCATCCATTCACCTCTGCAAGTGCCTCTTTCTTACACCCACGTACTGTACTTGATTCCTCACGACTTTTCTCCTTTTTCTTTTACACCGTGCGCGGAAGATGGATTCAGCTACTACACAACTGTCGGGCGGCAATTGAGAAATATCCAGGGGCAATAAAGCACAGGTACGGTTCTTCCTTTCACTCTCTTTTTTGTGTGTCTCTTAAGGAACTTTTTGGGGGAAAGGCGATGCATTTTTTTAAAGCTAAGAACTCTTCAGAGATCACTCGCTAATCAAGAAGGATCAGTTTCACTTCACCCGCTTGAGTCCTCCAGGTGGGTTGGAGAGTACAACGTCCGTTATGGCATCCCCACGCTGTGTGGGGATGATGGAAGCTGTAGTCCAAATGCATCTGGAAGACCTCTCGATTGGTGATAATAACCCTTCATGCAACCGAAGAAGTGTATACTAGTTAACAGAAACTTGTGCCATAAGAAATTGGTGTGAATGGACTCTTCCTTCTTTTTTCTGAGGATTAACTGCAACGTTTTTTGTAAAGAGCATTACTTCATGCCAAAATGTTGTAAAATGCTGTATCTCTATAGAAAGTTTTAAACAAAAGCAAAAAAACCAGGAACCAGGCTATTTGAAATAATTTGAGCTAACTGCAATGCAAAGGGGGTGAGGGTGGGATTACAGGATAATGGTGTAATTTAATATTTTCAAAGATTACCTGAAGCCCATTACTGAATGTTCTCATTTTCCTGCACCAAGCATCCTTTTGGTCAACTCAGTTGATGTACATACAGCAGCTTCCCTGATGGCTTTAACAGCCCGCACACATGCAAGGGGAGGGGGAAATTAAATTAACAGCTGTAATCCTAAAAAGTTCCTACATGGTGACAATCATTGGCCTTGCTTGTGAAAAGCCAGTGAGAATTCTGACACCAAGCCAGAGCTCCTGTTCTGCAGTGGCTAAGAGAGGGAGCCAGGAAGTCTGTGGCTTAATTTCCTACCATGTCTCCCAAGGATATTGGGGTAACCTACATAATTATTCCTCCCTATTTATCCTCTCACTGGCTCTGTTTGGTAGGGTTAAGCTCAGAGGTAGTCATAGTCCAAAATCTGTGTAAAGATCTGTGATCTGAGTAAAGCTTTGGACCTGGCTCTCCCCAGTCCTATTCTAACACTCTAACCAGTACCCTGTGCTTGCTTCCTTGATTGGTTGGTAAAAATTACTGAGAACTGCTGTGTTCATGCAAAAAGCATTATATAGTGCTTTGCATAAATGCCATACCTTACACTAGAAATCCAGCTTTCAGGGCTGAATTGATTCTAATTCTAAAATGTTATGGGATGAACAATGCTATGGAAAGCATAAGAAAGAAACTGAGCCACAATGTGTACCTTCCCTCACTTCCTATGTAGATAGAAGAAGTGGTGAGTGTGGCTTTTCTTTTGGCTTTCTCACTGCCTTGGCCGTTTGAGAAGAAAAAGAGAAAAAAAAACATCCTGTTGACATGCTGCAGGGATTAATTTTTCCATTTCCAGGACTAGTGTAATTTCTGGACAGCTTCAAGGATATGTTGCCAGAAAAGGAAGGCTTGGGATGCTCTGAATCCAAAACCTTCCCCCTGACATAACCCCTTCTCCTCCATGCCGTGGAGGAGGTTTCTGCCACCCCAAGTGAGACAACCTGTGGTGGCAGCCGTTCCTCTCTGCCAATTTTGAGAGGGACCTAGGGAATATCCTAAGGTCCTGAGATACCCTCACAGGGAGTGTTGAATTGTATCCTTTGTTTAATTAGTAAGTGTATAGGCTACCTTATAACTGTGTTCTTGAGATTCACCAAGGCAACAGCCTATCCAAATAGTAAATGCTGGTTTTTTATACCTCGGAGGTTTTCAAAGGCTAGGTAAGTGTGGTAGAAAAAAAAGCATGGAATACTTTTTACTCGGCAACAGCCTATCCAAATAGTAAATGCTGTTTTTTTTTATACCTCGGAGGCTTTCAAAGGCTAGGTAAGAGTGGTAGAAAACAAAGCATGGAATACTTTTTACTGTGCAAGAATATTCCAGACAGCAATAGTCACTGAAGGTGATGGTTAGGAACCTTTTGTCTTATGTTATAGAGGTTCTCTTCATCAAAGCTTGAAACAGAAGCATAGGTCAGGTTTTTCCCTCCTTTTCTCTACAGCTGTTTCTATCCTGAGTGGGGGATTCTGGGAATCTTGGTCCCAAAATTCCAGGATCTGGGAGAAAAGTAGGATAAGGTTTAACTGCTATCTCTGCAGCTGTTAGTTCTCTTAGCCAGTGCAAGCATCATCTTTTTTTTTTTTTTTTTTTTTTTTTTTTTTTTGAGGCCTAATTCATCTGGCAAGGAAGGACTTGACGTGTTCTTTGGCAGTGACAAACTACAAGCAGATTTATGAATGCTCTAAATAATGAAACCGGCTTTATTTGGTTGTAAGGAAAGCTCAATAGTATGTCAGATTTCAAATTTTAATACCTGTCAGCATCATCCCTACCACCGTATTTACTATAACAGCAAGACGCTGTGAAGGATTTTTTTTAAAAAAATGACACATTTTTAATAGCACAGTCTGATTTTTCAGGGGGTCCTCCTCCACTTTAGAAAGGAAGGATCTTTTTTATAGCTTTCCTTTAGGGCATTTAGAAAGACTTTAGTCTAAAGAAGTCCTAAGATCAATGATAGATGTTTGTAATGTCATATCTTGACATGATGTTGTATTGTGTTTTATTTTCTACAGTTTCATCTGTTCACACTTGCTGAGAAATCTGTTGACTTAAGGTTGTCACCCAAGATGAAAGGAACAGGGAGAAACAGCCCTTGCTTACTAGGATTTCTGATGGGTTTCTGTTTGGCTACTCTTCCTGGCAGCTATGGCTGTCCCAAGCTCTGCGCCTGCTATGTACCTACAGAGGTACATTGCACATTTCGGTATCTTGGCACCATCCCAGATCACATTCCCCAAAATGTGGAGCGTATCAATCTAGGGTATGTTTGCACAATATTGCTCAAACTGTGTTGTCATGAAATCTGTCTCATCTACTATACTGTATTAAGATGTAATGAGAAAAAGCTCATCAGGGAAATACATTGATTCATGAAAACCTCTGCTATTGGTTCAGAAGGGATCAAAGATAACCTTCAGTAATTTCTCTTGAAGGTGGTACAGTTGCCTTTCACACAAATTATCCCACAGATTACTTGATCAGTTTTTTACTGATTAATTTAAAGTATAAATTCACCTATATTCAGAGGATCCCAGTGTTCAGACTGCCAGTGTCCCTGATTTGTAGTATGAATTTATCACCTCTTCTCTTTCGTTTTGCCTTATCTGTTACACAGATACATTTGGAATGGGTTCAGAGATAATGCACTAAGGGTCTTTCCCCCTCCATTTGAAATCTCTGCTATGTCTGAGCAAGGAGGAAGGTAGAAAGCTTGTGCTCCTCCTTTAAAACTAACTAGAGTCTTTACACCAGGGAAAAAATCTGTCTGGGTTTAAATAAGGTTTATTAAAAGGCCAATATTATAAACAATGTTTTGAGAGACTGCTTGTTCAAATTTTATGATATCCCAGGGAAGCATTTCTTTTAGTCCCACAATCAGAGGCATGCTTGGTGAGGATGCAAGCAATGGCATAGTAGTCAATTTGGAAATGCAAGCATTCATCACGACAGTCACCATGACCTCTCCATGGAAAATCCAAAAATGCAGCAGTTGGATTGGTCGAGATCTACAAATAAGGAGCTACACTTTTGTAAAGATAATGGCACTTCATTGCCTATTTGCAAGACCATGCCACCCTCAAGTAGTTTGCAGTACAGTTCATATTGTAGTACAACTCAGAGGCAAAACAGAAGTTGGTGGATGGCAAATGATGTTATAGTCTCCACTGCACAGCAGGTCCTAGGGCTTCAACCCTATGAACTCTGGCTGCATTACACTAGTGATTGGAAGCGAGAGCCCTTCCTAGTGGTTTCTCCCAAGCTCTGGAACTCACTGTCATAGAGGGTAGGTTTACTTCAGTGGTGTTGTGATGAATTTAGAAATGCAGGTGCTTGCCATCACAGACTCCTTAATCATCTCATTGCATAGGAAGAATCAAAACATGCATGTTGCCACATATCAACAATTGAAGTACATGTCTTTTGTAAAGTTAATGGCTTTAAATTGCTCATGCAAGAACAAACCAAAATCAGACATTTCGGATTACAATAGGGATAATTTATAGCAATATTTCTGTTCCAGCTATGGTGAGGATTATAATTAAGCTCAAAGGGAACAAGGAAGTCATGGGTGGAGTAACAGTTGATGCTATAGTCTATGCTACTCAGAAAGCTCTGGGGCTTTGATCCTGCATATCCTGGCTGCACTACACCCATTGATTGGCTCTCTCTTTGCTGTCATTTTCCCTGCCAGCAAATGCATTTTTATTAAAGACTTTGGCATTTAAGCTGATATATTGCTGAAGGGGATTGTTGCTGAAAGTAATTTATTTTTCCATATAGATTTGTTTTTATTGTGCTTTTCAATCATTTGTTTTTATATTTTAATAGGTATTTTGCTTCTAACTGTGGTTAACTGCTCTGAGTGCCATTTTTGGCAGAAAACCAGAATATGCATGTAATTTAAAAAGATACATTTATTATATCCTGACTTTTTTGAACAAATTAGTCAGAGCCCCTACATAATTTCAGATACTGTATAAGATACACTTTCTGAGTCTCAAACTGGAAGTGAATGCTTCCAGTCTCCTCTCAGCATCTTTGTTAGAGGACTCTAACAAAGATCCTAAAATCCTGTTAGTGAGTATGAGAAAATGTGTAACTTTTCGTCCATTCTTAACCAGCAAATTAAAATTCCCTGCTGTAATGTTCACACACACCGAGCCAGTGTGCACATGCTCCATATGTCTGATGAAGTGGACTTGTCCACAAAAACTCACATTAAAATATAATAGTCTTTAAGGTGACACATGTTTTTGCCTTGTTTTGTTTTATTTCCTTTCCTTTCATTTCTTTGGATTTTGCCTGGTATACTTGCACAGTGATTTCTTCTAAAATTAATGCTCTCCCGAGAATCACTGCAGGTACTCTTTATATGTTTACTAGAAATGGACTGAAAGTTAGGAACTTTCTTACACTAAGCAACATGATTTCATCCAATGATTATGCATAGATTAGGGCCTCTTTAGATCAGATGCTACTCTGTATTTGGGGGCAATGTAGTCTGAAGAGGAAAAGTCCCATTTATTCTAACATAAATTTGCCTAAATCTGCATTTTAAAAAAGCCCGTGTTTTGTAATTGGCCAGTTGAGAGAAAGCATTACTTTGTTTACATGTCTGATGTTTCAGGCATGTAGGTCTGAAAGATTTACATTGCCTGAAGGGATAAAGATACACCTTTTCATTCATGTGTAATCTGATCATCCGAGATTGGATTTGGTGTGTTACAAGTAATGACATAGCCTATACTTTTGGACTAGATAGCTTGACAATGTGAGTGGACTTATTTATAGAAGATATAGCTCATAACAGCTGATAGACCACATAGTAATACTGAGTGTCCAGGCAGATTCAAAAGAAAAGTGTCAATGAACACTAGTTCCTAGAGAAACGCAGAACAGAGGTCGTCCATTGCTTTCCTGCAGGGATGGGGACTTGAATCAGGGGACTCTCTATCAAGTTGGACTTAAGTCGCACTGGTGATTCAACTCTTTTTTTTTTTTTAATGACTCGGACTCAACTTGCGACTTGGAACCCACCCACTCCCTCTTTTTTTTCTGGGGAAAACAGCTTATTTTTAATATGGACTCTGACTTGGGACTTGGACCCAAAAGACTTGTCAACACCCCTGCTTTCCTGTCCAACATGTGGGTCATGGCAGCATCTGGCTAGCCACCATTGGAAACATGATAGTGGACCATTGGGTCTGATTACTATTTTAGATTAATAATGAGCTTTGCTAACCTCCACAGTAGAGACCGTATGAGAAATAAGACCTGTAAACTTTCTGTCTGAATTCTCCCCTCCATTGTGAAAGCCTCTTGTGAAACCTCCAGCCTAACTTCACCTTTAATAACATTCAACAGCAGCCAAAGACATATTTACTATGCAGATATATTCAACAGCACTTTGGTGAGGGGAAGCCTCTGCTCTCCCGTTTGGTTCCTATTACCTCCAATAACTCTTGCAAGCTTAGTAGACCTCCACTGTTGCAGTCTACTGATGCCTGTTTACTCTTTGTTCTTAGGTTTAAATATTGTCCTTTAATGATATTAACCCCCGTTGTATACGAGGGGGTGCTGATAACGCCTATGGAGGAACTTCGCTGAACGGTGAGTTTGAAAGCCATAGGAACACATTGAACAAAGTTCAATGCGTTTCTATGGCTTTTTCCCTCCCGCACAGCGATGTTTCCCACAGTGAAGATTAATCCGGAACGAATTAACCTCGCTGTGCGGGGCACCACTGTATATATTGCAAATTAATCTGATTGAGGAGTCATGGCTAACAATCATGAATATAGGCTTTTCACTTGTTTTAGAAACATGCATTGAAAGGTGAAAGTATAAGGATCCCTGCTCTTTAAAGACCCGAATTGTGGCTCTGTGCCTTTTTAATGGTTTTCCTAATGGTGTATTTTATGAATGGTTTGAGAATACTAAATTGCTCATAGTATTGCTTAATTATTAGTGTGGTATAGAACTATTTGCTGGCTGGATAGCTCAGTGGTTTAGGTATCTGAAAGCCGGAGACTGCGAGTTTAAATTCCCATTGTGGCTTTAGGCAAGTTAGTGGTTTAGGTATCTGACTGTGGAGCCGGAGATTGCGAGTTCAAATTCCCATTGTGGCTTTGGGCAAGTCGCACAATCCCAGGATGCCCCCAGAAGAATGAAAAACCGCTTCTGTGTAAAACCCTGAAAAGGGTTGCCATAAGTATCAAATATCATGGCAGGAACATGTCTTTTCTCCCATAGTTAGGTAGCCAGCTTGCTTTGTTATGTGTTTGGTCTTCAGGACATAAACCTGTTCTTCATTTGAAAGACAGATTTCTCAAAACTGAAAGTCTGCCAGATTCATGTTTCTGGAAAATTTATGTGTTTTCAGCTCCAGTGATGGCTCCCCATAACATATGGTTATTAATATTTCCACAGTTTTTCTCTGTGGCTTTGGGGATTTGCTGCTCAAGAAATGCCATCCTCAATCTTCCTTGGCTGCATAGCTCTTTGCACT